GTTTCAACACCTGAATGAAAGCAGAAATTTTAGTACAATCTAACACAATTCTAAACAAGATGAAGAATAAGAACATGATCTATGCTTTACTATTGATTCTTATTGAGAGTCTTTATGAATCAAACGTACATTGAAACCTAACATCTACCATGCATAAATCCTTTTGAGACATGGCTATTGCTAAGGTCCAACATTCAGGAAATGTCACATCTGATTATCGTTGATTTATGCCAATAACTATGTGTTTTTCTGCTAAATAATCCCCAACCTTACCAGAGGTCGAAAAACAATTAAGGGAATTACCAGTTGAAGCATGTTGTTTTCAGTTCGCAACCACCCGACCTACAAAACAACCAAAAACAAGGTAATTATTGCTTCTGCTTACTGCAATCACTGAAAACCAAAACCGGAACAAATGCAACTCCTTGTTGCATTTTAAAGAATGTTCTTTTGTCAGCTTTCCATTCCCAGATACTCTTTTCAATTGCCGAAGTGAAATGATATTTTCTCTTGGAAAAAATGAGCGAATCTCAAGCATCATATTGCACAAATTCAACCCATACGCCTCAATAAGATTTTATAGAAATGACATTCCACATGCACAAGCATAAAGGTAGCTTTGCTTACCAGTTCGGTTGGACTAGTTTCATCTTCCTTCAAAACCGGATTTTGCAGAAAACTATTAAGAACCTTTTCTGTTCGAGTTCCAAAGGATGTTTCAGTGGGAGATTTTGATGATTCTTTCTCATACGCCGAACCTCTGCTCATATTTCCAGGTCCAGGCAAGCCTTGAGATGTAGGATCTGCTAGCTTTGACACTATCTGCTTCATGTTCCAAATGAGTTTTGGGAGGGTTCATTTGTTGCAGTCAAACCACTTTGAATGGATTCGGGAAAAGCACTTTCATTGAAGGGTGAATTGGAAGCCATTCCAACTTCATCATCAATGTTGCCATTGTTTCCTAAAAATCTCAGAATATAAGTTTAGATACACAATAGAAGAAACGAATACTATATAAGAAATTATGCATACCATAATGCAACATTGAATTTGATGCACCACCCCAGGCTTCACAGCAAGTCCTGTAACACAAACAACTTTCGTATAAATAATGACATTTCTAGTTCATATGATTGACAGTGAGTACGGAATTATTTGTAGCATAGGAATAAAGATATCGATGTCAGTTGGTTTAAATATTGAAAGAAGAGCTGGTTCAAAGACCATACTCGCTTTGTGGAGGCTTATCACATAGAACATTCATACAAAAATTGAAGTAACTAATAAGAGATTTGAGAGAAATAATCAGTAATTCCTATATTCCTGAAATATTAAGACACATATACTGTCAATACCATGATATATTATAATTAATATCATAATAAGTACTCGGTTATTTCTTTTCAACATGATTGCATACCAACACCAACACCAAAACCATGACCGAGACCAACTCCACATCCAATCCCAGCTTGAATGTTCTTAGCTCCCAATTTCAATAACTAAAAAACATGAGAAAGACTACATAAGCAGATCGTGAAATATCAAACAAGCAAAATCAATGTCAATGACATTCACAAAGTTGTGTGTATAACTTACAACACCGTTTACATGTCTGCTAACACCAGAAAGCACATCCGTTGCACCTCTAGTTGCAGTCATAACTTGGCCCAGCATAGGTATCGCACCTGATTATGTAGCATAGTTAACACAAGATCTGTAAAAGAATACCCCATTCATTCTTGATTCTAGATTCAACTATGTGATGATATAATATTGATAACCATAAATGGAAATTCCAGAACTTGTTGAATCTAAAGGTATTGACAAAAAAAGCTTACTCACAGAGCATATTTTTTAAAGAATATAAAGTAACACACGGAGGATAAAACAAAAGAAACTAAGGGCCTGAAATAGGATTGCAATTTAGAAAATTTAATGTCCAACAATTATGAATTCTTCAACAGCATACACTTCCATGGAAACCCTGGAATCCATTCACTGTGGGCAACTTTAAGTTGTTTTGTTTATCATATTGGAGTCTCAGTTGTATATAATTGTGCAAAACACCATAACAATACGAAAATATACGGAACAACATCATGCGAGTCAAAACTATAAGGGTAACTGGTACACAATTAATTAAAACTTAAAAAGAGTCATAGAAAATACAAAAAAAAACTATGGGATTTTAGTTGCTTAGAACATGTATTGAACTCTTGTAACTTCTTAATTAAAACTCTGAGAAAATGTTCAAACTTTAACAAACTATAAATTGATGAGCACGCCATTGCAAAAACCATAAACATCCATACAAAAGCTAATATTCATTCCACTTGCACACATTTTCCCATCACAGAACATACTACATAGCCGTCTCCCGTAAGCCAATATACTTAAGGAAACAGAACAAAAGAAAGTGATACCAAAATCGATACATACAAGTTTCCATGGGAAGCAAATTTGGAAAATTATCATCATTCTTGGGAGAAAACAAACTACCCCAGTTCATCTTCACAACTCAAAGGTAAGATTTTGCATTAAAAGAAACGCACTAAAAATCAACGAATCATGTATAAGCAAAGAGAACGATAAGAGTTATGAGCCGTACCTAGATTTAACGGGCGACCCACGCCAATACCAATACACAGCCAATGCCAAAGCCAGTGAATACTTGACCCACTTTCAGAGTAAACGGATTCTGTAATCTGATTCCTTGAAAGCCTTTTCTTTGATTGGTTGCTGCCACCCTTTTATTGTTACTACGATTGATACTACCCTCCATTGTTCAAGTATCTCTTTGAGTATTACGGATTTGCAAAGGGAAATCATTTGCGCAGATGGTATCTTTTTCATGTTCTTTTTATTTGTTTAAGAATTTCATTTTTTAATGGGTAAAGTACGCAATTGTCCTCTGATTATAGTATGATGTTTTGTTGAGTCTCTAACTATTAAAAATTACAAAATAATTCATCAACTATGAGATGTTGTTTTGTTAAGTCTCCGATTATTAAAAGTTATAAAATAGCCACTTGCCTATTTATATATTCCAAACTTATACTTCCCATTAAAAATTGATAATCGTATAAGTTGGACTTTAACATGCTGATTGTGATAAAATTAAATTTACAAATCTCTACAGGTACCGTCGTTACTTTCAAACATTGGCTTGACAATATAATTTAACGAAGATTCGATCTATAAAATATAACTCAAACGATTATGAGATCATATTTTATCATATCTCAGTCAACATGTTAATGTTAAGCCTAGACGACCACCAATTTTTAACAAAAAATATGAGTTTGGAATATATCAATAGTCGGATGATCATTTTGCAAAATTTAATAGTTGGAGCACTCAACAAAACAATATCATATAGTCCAACGTTCATTTTGTAACTTCTAATAGTCGATAGACTCAATAAAATAGTGTTCTATAATCGATACCATTTATATACTTTACCTTAAATTCAAATAAAATCAAATTTAGTTTACTTCAAATTAGTCAAATTAGATTTAAATATTAAAGCTCGAATTTTATGTCTTTTACGAATTTTACAATTATTTGACACTAAACCAGCAAAACTTATAAGCAATTTTGGAGCTGGAGTTAGACTTAAGACTAAGGGTGCGTTTGATTCACGGAATGTAAGATTACCAGTGGGAATAAAAGATTACTAGGGAATAGGATTACTGGGAATGTTGTATTTTATGTTTGGTTGGTTTAGCAGGAATGTAAGATTACCGTATTTGGTTAAAGGAATAAAAGACTATTAGAATGTATATGTGACCAAATTGTCCTTATTATATATTTGTTTTTTAACAAGTTGAAAAATATTTATATATTTTCTTTAAAAATTTAAATTCATAAAATTTATATAATTTTTTTTACAAAATTGAAAATATAAAAAGGTTTAATGAAAGTAAAATTTATTTTAACCCCTGAACTTCATATAAAATTATAATTATAGATTTTTTTAAATCTAAAATAGTTTAAGGATAAATTTATAATTTAACCTTCGTAGATTTTTATTATTTAATGACAGAATAAGGATATTTTTAAATGAAAAATTTTAAGGGCATTTTAGTCCAAAAAGTCGGTAATCCAATAATACCTAAGGAAAATGAGGTAATGACATTTCCGATAATATACCAAAAAAATCCACTATTGATAATATAAGATTATCGGGAATGATATTCCCGGCCAACCAAACGGGAGACCGTGAATTCCATTCCCATAGAAATCTCACATTCCCCAACCAAACAAACCCTAAGGGGGTATTTGGTTCAAGGCACATTCCCATGTTTGGTTGGCCGTGAATCTTATTCCCGGTAATGTTTTATTATCAATAGTAGATTTTTTGGGGTATATTACCGGGAATATCATTACCTCAAATTCCTTATGTATTGTAACATTACCGCGTTTTGACTAAATGCCCTTAATTTTTATTTTTTTCAAAAATATCGTTCTTCTGTCATTGAATAATAAAATTCTACGAAGGTTAAATTACAAATTTATCCTTAAATTATTTTAGATTTACAAAAAAAAATCTATAATTAAAATTTTTATATGAATTCAGGGGTTAAATTTTTTTATCCTTTCATTAAACATTTTTATATTTTAATTTTAAAAAAAATTATATAATATATGAATTTAATTTTTTAAATAAAATATATAAATATTTTACAATTTGTAATATTATACAAATATATAATAAGATAATTTTATCAAATATATATTCAATAATTTTATTCTTTAACCAAACACGGTAATCTTATATTCTGCTAAATCAACCACGATAATCTACATTCTGCTAAACCAACTAAACACAAAATACAACATTCCCAATAATCGTATTCCTTGATAATCTTTATTCCCACTGATGATCTTACATTTCGCGAATTAAACGGACCTTACGATTCTGTTCGTGTTTGGTTCTCGTAAAAGCCTTTGATAATGTAAAACCATTTACTGTCAACGTAAAAGAAACTCTTTGGCCCGTAAAACAACTCACCTTAGAAAAAATGGAAATTCATTTTAGGAACCAACTACCTCCCATTTTTCATTACCTTTGATCTCTTCATTCTACGATCAACTATCACCATCTTCTTCTCACCAACAACAAAATCAGCAGATTTTTTTCCAGCAAAATCAAGTGAGGAGCTCTAGGATTCCAAGGTAATATTTCGAATCCCTAATGCTCTCCCTCCCCTTTTGCTTTTCTCTTTGATTTCCAAAGGTAAATCTCTTTAAAAGGTACCTGGTGATTGATTCGGTAACCACCGAGGTTGATATTTGATCTGGCATTGCATTATTGATAAGTATTTTATTGGGATATTTTTGGTTCTTAAAACCCATTTTTATTACCATTTATAATTTCCTGCTAATGAATTTCGTCTTTTTCGTTGTTTAGTTATTGACCGAGCTCCATAATGCTTCATTTATCTGTTATGATTTCTTCATTTGCAATGCTTCTCCGTGCAGTACGTTGGATTAGTTTTTAACTCTTGATTGTTCCGTGAAGTACCCAGATTTACTGGAGTTTATTAGTTGAATCATTGTGGTTTTTAAAGTTTGTAACATTAACGTTAGTCTTACGCCTCTGTTTGGTTGCTAAGAAAACTGCGGGTAATGAACATTCCTAGCAGGTTTTATGTTGTTTTCTTTTCTAGTACCTGACAATTCTCGCTCAACTAAGTTTTTTAGAGTATTTCATCAAGTGATTAAGAGGATCTCGAACCATTAGCTCATAAAATTTTAGATCCTTTTAGTATTTTTTTACCCATTCGGTTTATGGGGGCCAAGATATTTTCAAGATTTAACTTTTATTATGTCTTGTTTGATTGGGATTTGTAGCATATTTTGGTTGTGAGAACTGGAAGGATTCCTCCTATTTGGGAATTCATTAAGGAAAGAATTAAAGAGAAAGAGAATAAACTTCGGTAGCAATTATCAATTATCATTTTTGGTTTTGTGTTATGCAAGCTTATGGTAGAGATTTGCGCAGTACTTGCTTAATTGACTAAATCCCGTGACTGTTCATGTTTTCTGGAATTTATAATACTGATTTTGTTATTAACTTTTTAACTTCGAGAAGTGTTTTCTTTTATCAAGAAGTAAACAAAATGTTTTCTTGTGTGTGTGTCTTATCTTACAACTGATTCTTCTTTCCATCATTTCCTTCTCATTTTCCTTTCCTTTGGCTTTCTTGAGAATTTAAAGACCCCTTCTTGAAAGTCTTAAACTTGGTTTTCTTTGGCTTCTTCTTCTTAGATTTTGCCTTAGGTTCACTAGTCATGCAACAAAGTTAGATAAAGTGATATAATCTGTAATAATTTGTTCTAGAAAGATGCTTTGAAATGAGGCAAACTCTTTACCATAGAGAAATGTAATTCTGTCTTTCTTTCTTAGCTTGCGGCCTTAGAGTTTTCAGTCTCTTTCTATGATTTCCATTAGCAAAGTTTAACATAAGTCTCCTCAACCCCTTGCAAAAGCTTAGTAACCTGTCATTGAATGTAGCAAATGTAGGGACAAAGAAAATTCAATTGAACTGAGGTAAACAGGTTCCTATTCGCCATTTCTAACCTCATTAGAACTACCAAAATAAGATTTGTCCACCATTTGCAAGTAAGCTTTCGACGCATTTCACAATGAGACCTGTACTAGGATGAACCAAAAATCAATACAAATAAGCCATGGTCCTCGTTAATTTTGGTTGATTTTGATATAGAAAGTGAATAAGAATTAGACCTTGTTATATTTCTTCATGATATTGGAAAATGTCAACTGATTAAAGAAGCTGAAGAAGCAAATACAGAGATAATTAACTATAAAAATAGACAAATTTTCATTTGTTTATAGTTTTCTAATGAAGAAAGGAGGAAGGTATGGTACCAGTAGCTTTTCAAAAGCCTAAGCTTTCTATAGAATTCGATGAAAGCTTGAGAGATTTTTTCCTCTGTAGTCCTCAGCTCTTGCCTGCTGAACCACAAATCCGATTTCAAACTTTTGATTACAGTTCTTAGTGTTTCTATAGGAGTTTCAAGCTCCACATTTATCTTTACTTGATCCAAAACATGTAATGGAGCTGATCTAAAGTGTCTATCAGCAGTTTCTTTCATTCATTCTTTTGAAATTCCATCATTGCTCATCTTAATTTCCTGGATAGCATCCATATGAGTCGGTCCTACATATCGAAAAACATATTGAGAAAATCATAAAACTTGATGGATTCTTATAACATGAAGCAAAATTGGAACTTTCATATCATTTTGCAAGAAACCCATATTTTTTTCATATTGGATTGTTAAAAAATCAGAAACCCAGATTCTCCTCTTACCATGCTGTAGCCACCGTCAATGGTGGCTTGTTTTGTTGTTTGAATCTTAAGATGTCTTTCAATATCGATTTCAGATTACTTTAATCTATGTATGCTTCCTTAAATTGATTTTTAAGATGTCTGAATCTTATTAGTTGTAATATTTCTGACAGGTTCTTACTGGAGTCCACTTGCACATTTGGTTAAAATTTTCTCCAATACGAGGATCGACCATTGAACCTGGTATATCACTGATCACAAAAGGGAAACGAGGTACGTTTTTCAAATATATGATATATGACATAAATTCTTAATAGTATATCAACATAAATTACATCCACTTTAGCTTATATAAAAGCTTAAACGTAATATGAACTTTAGCTTTAGGTAAAAGCTTAATACTTCATATGAAACTTATACATAATATTGAGATATAGTAGACTTAACCCAAAATGAGATAAAACAAATAAAGAACACTTATCTAGCTACAAGATTGAACATAATTGTATTCATAAAACAATAGTGGTTATAATTTATTATAAAGTTAAAAAATTCATAAATATTGACTTCTAATTTCTTTGTAGATGGAACGTAATTCTATTCATAAAACAATAGTGAGAGTCGCTGCTTCAGTAGTGGCGTTTAGGGCTCTTTGGATTTATAGACTAAAATCTAGAAAGCAAATAACTCATGATCATGTGAATCTAGATTGTGAAAGAGAAAACTACATCAATAGTATTTTATATAGAGGTGACCAGAATTGTATCGACATAATACGGATGCGACCAGCTGCGTTTTTTAATCTGTGTGACATCCTTACTAGGAACAATTTGTTGCAATCGACAAGAGCAGTGAATGTTAAAAAGCAAGTTATCATATTTTTACATATAATTGGTCATAATGTAAGATTTCGAGTGATTGGATCAAGATATTATAGATCAATTGAAACAATTCACCGTCACTTTCGGATTGTGTTGAGAGCTATTTTGAAATTATATCAATTATCCATTAGATTACCCGATGAGTCAACTCCTCTTGAGATAAGAAACAATTCTAGGTTTTACCCATATTTTAAAGATTGTGTCAGAGCATTAGATGAAACTCATATTCCTGCATCTGTTCCACCTAACATTCAAGGAAGATTTCGTAGTCGTAAATGGGGAACAACACAGAATGTATTGGCTGCCATTACTTTTGATTTGAAATTTACTTATGTTCTAGCTGGTTGGGAAGGTAGTGTGCATGATTCTCGTGTTTTAATTGATGCACTTACACGTCGAAGTGGATTTAGTATTCCAGAAGGTAATATTTAGCTTTAAAATAAAAAATAATTAAATTAAATTCATAATATATTAAGTAATAATAACATTTTGTCAAATTGTAGGTAAATATTATCTTGATGAAGCTGGATATGGCATCCGAAATGGAATTATTTCTCCATATCGTGGTGTTAGATATCATTTAAAAGAGTTCACCAATCATCGTCCAGAAAATGCAAAGGAACTGTTTAATCGTCGTCATTCATCATTGCGAACCACTGTTGAGCGAGTATTTGGAATTTTAAAGAAACGTTTTTGTGTGTCGGATGTTGAACTATTTTGAGATTTTCAAACACAAGTAGTTGTAGTGTTGGCTTGTACTATCATCCATAATCATATAATGGGAGTTGATCCTTATGATTTAATTAACGAAGAATTATATTGAATAACACGAGGGAAGAAGCTAGAGAATGTGCTACTAAGAGAGATGAAATTGCATAAGTTATGTGGAGTGATTATATACATAGAAACATTTAATTTTATTTAGAACATTTTGTTTAGTATTTCTATGTTATGTATGATGGATATTGTTGTTTTTAGTTTGTTGGATATTGAAATTGATAATATTTTTAGATTGTTGGACATTGAATATAATTTGTTAGATGTTGAAATTATTATTTTAAAGTTTGTTGGTTTTATAAATGTTATGTTTTACGTTTGTTGGACATTTACGTATGCTTGTGAGTTGAGTGCTTGGTGTCTTATGTATTAGGTGCTTGGTGTATATTTGAGGGTTGATATTATAAATTGTTACATAATTGCTGGATAATTTATGTTTGTTAGTAGTCTAATTACTTTTTTTTTTATGATTATTAATGTAGAAATGAGCACATCAAAACATTTTAGGTGGACAAAACCAATGAAACGTCTATTTCTTGAAATACTTGTAGAGGAGACGCAAAAAGGTAATAAGTCATCTAATACATTTAGAGCAGTTTCTATAAATTGAGTTGCTACAACTATTTTCGAAAAATTTCAAGTCCAATGTGCCACTAAACACGTGAAAAATCATTTGAGGACTACAAAAAAATACATGAAAAACTATATGTACAATTCGTGAAGATAGTGGATTAGGGTGGGACGAGAACCTGAGAGTGAACTTGCGACGAAGTGACTTATGATGCCATAGTGAATGTAATCTTTATATACTTATTTTAATAAATTATATTTGAATTTTACTTTTTATGCTAACTGTGTATAATATTTAACAGGCACACCCAAAATATGGACCATTTTTTAACAAAAAAAAATGATTTTTATGATGAGATGACTCTTGTTGTTGGTCAAGATATGGCAACAGAGAGTTTTGCTAGAACCTTCGGCGACTTTCTTTGTAAGGTGTTCAATTTTTTAGCAAAAATGAGTTGGAAGCCAAAACTTTCTTGGCAAAAAAACCAAAACATAAGAAAATTTGGCTTGAAAAGTTTCCTCAAAGTTATGATGTGAACTTTTAATGTGGAGTACTACTATTTATGACTTAGACAATATTTAACCTTTAATGTGTTGTAGTACTATTTATAGACTTTAATCATATGTTGGTTTGATGTGTTGTAGCACTAATTATGAATTAGACAATATCTTTGTATTCTTATGGTTGGATAATATCGTTATCTTAATGCGATGTAGTTTTAATTAAACACTTTGAAAATATTATTATTATTTCAATATGATGTACTATTGTTGTTTTAATAATGATGTAATTTTAATTATATATTTTGATAATATATTTTTACTACATTATCAACATTATATCAATTAAACCTACATACAATATTAATTATGAGTTAAAATTTAATTTTAAAATGCTAATAGATAAAGTATCATGAATACTTCAAACCTAAAATTATGTATTTATAACACTATCAACATAATTTAGTATATTTTCTACAAATTTAATTTCCTGTACTTATACAAATAAAATATTTCATTTAAATTTTATAAAATACAATTTTATAAATACTTAAAAATTAAATACAAGAAAAATATAAAAATAAATACATTTTTACAAAAAAACAGATTTCGTAAATTGTTTTTAGAAAAACTAATCAAACAGTGTAAAACATTTTATAATACATTTTATAATGCAACATCCAAATAATGTAAACTGTTTTTTGGAAAATATTTTCTAGAATTGTAATTCATTTTCTAAAATTCAATTTCCAGAAAATTAATGACAGTCAAACAAATAAACCCTAAGAAACCCTAAGAGTATAAAACAAACAAACCCTAAGAGTATAAGTTGAGAAAAATGTCTTTATCCGATATTCTTTCCCTGCTAAAACCTGGCTCAACATGAACCAACAACAACCGTTTCATCTCCGCCACTTATTTCCAACGATTTTTCATGTTAAAATTCTGGGGTTTTCTCTAATCCCAAACCACCATAAACTTCGAATTCTTGAACCATGGCAATGGCCACATCCCATATTCATTTCAATCTCCCATGCCACTGCCTTCTTTGTACAATTCTCAAGGCAGAGGAATTTTGCAAAGAACTTGGTTTCGAGCTCAACCCAGAACCAAAACCATTCGCACGGTTATCATAAAAGCTTCAGCTGATGTTCAAAAGGAAGATATTGTCATCGTCGGAGCTGGGATTGCCGGCCTTGCCACTGCAGTGTCCCTTCACAGGTCTAGATTTGATTTGTTTGAATTTTCCTCCCATATTTCAGCATTTAAGTTATGATTTTGATGTTAAGAGATTAATCATACCAGGCTAGGAATTGGGTCGGTGGTGCTTGAGCAAGCAGAGTCACTTAGAACTGGTGGAACCTCACTTACCCTTTTCAAGAACGGCTGGAGGGTATTGGATTCCATTGGTGTTGCAGATAGTCTCAGGAGCCAATTCCTTGAAATCGAAGGGTATGTGCCAATTTCACAAGCTTCTTGTTTGAACCGATTTTAATGTAATGGAAACTATATGAAACCGAAAGTAGGTTTCAGAGTCATTTTCTGAACTTGTTCATTGCATCAGCCGTGCAGGATGACGGTGAATTTAGAGGATGGAAGGGAGTTACGCTCCTTCAGATTCAAAGATGAAGATCAAACGTAATCAAACTTCACCGTTCTTTGAGACGATAGTTTCTTTGTCACGACCTCTCAACAAATAAGATATTCTCATTTCCTACAGTGTTACACTGCATAGTAAACATAAGCTGATATTGCCTCTTTGGGTGCCTACCAGCCGTCCTCAAGTCTGTCACCTGAAGGTGCGTTTCCCACGTTGAAACTCAGAACCTGCCTGTCTGTGAATATACTTTGCAACTCCGGTACCATGATTGCGGAAAAAGACACCGTAACAGGTTCTAGGTTTGAAACTGAGAGACACACTTTCAGGCAACAGTCCTGAGGGGGCAGGACAGGCTTGCGTTCACGACGAGGATGTAGCACTGCCTTGAGAAATGAAAGTATGTTGTCTGTCAATGGGTTGTGACTTCATTCATCAAACTAATATTGATCGCTTGACGATTGCAGCCAAGAAGTTCGTGCAGTGGAGAGGAGAATACTGCTGGAGATGCTTGCCAATGAGTTACCACCTGAGACAGTTCGATTTTCTTCCAAGTTAGCAAACATCAACTCCAGTGAAAATGGTGAAACTCTTTTGAAACTTACGGATGGCACCAGATTACTTGCGAAGGTTAGTTAACCTTAACCTCAAGTTTCACCATTGCACCATTGCCTGCGGCCGGAACTGTGTAAAAGGAAATCAATTTAATATTGTTTCTTCGACAGATAGTTATCGGCTGCGATGGGATTCGGTCTACAATAGCCAAGTGGATGGGTTTCTCTGAGCCGAAGTATGTAGGGCATTGTGCTTTCCGTGGACTCGGATTTTATCCTGATGGGCAGCCATTTGCAGCAAAAATTAATTATATTTATGGAAGAGGTTTGCGTGCTGGATACGTTCCGGTGTCTCCAACAAAAGTTTACTGGTTCATCTGCTATAACAGCCCCTCTCCAGGTTCTTTTTGACTGTAGGATTCAATCATAAATGAAATTGCGAATTACATTGAAACACGTTCCTTCTGACATGGCTGTTGCAGGTCCAAAGATTACTGATACAGTGTTGTTGAGGAAGCAAGCAAAAGAGCTTGTAAACAACTGGCCTGAAGAGCTGATTAGATTGATTGATCTTAGCCCGGATGAGACGATAAGCAAGACCCCACTTGTTGATCGTTGGTTATGGCCGGGTTTAAGCCCTCCTGCTTCAGCTGGGAAAGTTGTGCTGGTTGGGGATGCCTGGCATCCAATGACTCCTAATCTGGGACAAGGTGCTTGCTGTGCCCTAGAGGATTCAGTGATTCTCACAAGGAAGTTAGCTGATGCAATTAAATCTGGACCTGCATCTGTAGAAGGTGCTATCAAGGCATATGGAGAGGAAAGATGGCCCCGAGTCTTTCCATTAACCATACGGCCAAATCTTGTGGGAGCTCTCTTGCAGTGGGATAATCAACTCGTCTGTTCTGTTCGTAACAACATTGTCATACCTAAACTGGTTAGACTTGGACCAGTGCTTGAACACACAAATTTTGAGTGTGAGCCCCTGAAAGCATAAAATGTAAGATGTCAAGACTATAAGTGGCAAGAAGGTTAAATGCAACTTCACAGCAAAATTACACTTTATTTTCCATTTGAAGCTGTCAAGAAGGTTAAAGTTAAATGAACCTTCACTGCAAAACTATACTTCACTGCCATCTGAAGCTTTTTCGTTCATCATCTATTAATGAATCATGTGAGAGAACTACAGTGGTTTCATTTATAAATTGGGCAATGTTACTCATCCCTAGTCTCCTTTTATATTGAAAAGAGATGCCTTGTCCAGAAATAACCGAACAACCACGTTGAATTCAGGGAAGAAAAACAAATTACATAATACAGAAATGGAAAATATGCAACACATTATGGTTCTATCAAAGCACGAGTTAAGAAGACCTTTACCTACATTAAGAAGGTCTTCCATCTTACATAGTTGAATCTCTACTGATCATGGTACCTGCAAATCAATATTCTATGGCACAAATTCAAGTATCCAATCCATTCAAAGAGGTTGCTCTAAAGTCTTGTGTTTGAAGTAGACAAGATAAAGCTCGGACTTTAGCAAGACATCTTGCTCGAAATTGTTGAAGATATCAAACCATGAACATGAATAGCAAGATTGAATAAATTGATGTTTCTCATCAATTGAAAATACCAACTGCTAGCAACATTCAAGCCAGAAGTAAAAGGCATTTTACATATCATAAACATATACCCATTAAATTTTCGTCTCTTATATATGTAACATCGCAAAGTGCATGAAAACACCTGCATTTTACAAAAATAAAAAATGTTTTCCAGAAGCAAATGAATATCAAGTTATCTATTTGAAAAGATACAAATGAGTTACATCCATTCTTTGATAACCTCTCAGGTTATGCATACCACTTCTTTTGTGGAACAGAAGCCCTTGAGCTCCAATTTTTTAGTCAAGTCATCCCATGAACCAAAGACTCTTGATTTTGCTATCAATCTTCATACCCTTGATTCTGCAAATAATTCAATAATCTTAGGCTTTGAAATAAACTAAAAAGTAAGACTATAAAGTCAAAATGTGATTTTAGACTATCTAACTTCAATCTACCTAATATCTAAGTTCTAACTTTAATCTACCTAATATCTGCAACTGAAAATAAGTAAATCCGATCATAATTTATCAATCTAAATGAAAACAGAAACCCCAAAATAACTTAACAACCGACAAGAGGATTTAAAGTGCAAAGCTTGCCAGTTTTTATGCCTTGGCCGACCAAAAGAACATACAGATATGGCTAACAATCAATCAGTATATTTCAATTTCGAACTACTATTATTGGTTCCCGTCAAGGCAAGCAATTTATTTCACTAACTTATAACCAATTTTTTAAACCTAGATTGTAGACAATCATAAACCCAGCAATGAACTAACTTTCACAACCAATCAAACAAAAATGCAATTAGTATATGGGAAAGAAGGGATGGTGTTTGAACCTAGGCCGGAAAAGAACCAAAGAATGAAACCGCAAAGAACGAGGACGAAAGGGATGATGTGGACGGCGTTCTCGGCAGATCTAAGACGGGACCTTTCTTTCTCGGCGGCGCATGAAAGGAATGGTTAAAGTATACATGAGATCATTAAACTATGTCAAAAATGATATTTTATTTAATACATTTTAAAATATTATATAATGGTCATTAAAATTATCAAACTATTACAAAATAGTAATATTTTGATAAGTTTAAGAATTATTTTGTAATAGATTGATAAATTTAATGATTATTTTTATAATAATTTGATTAATTTTAATGATTATTTTGTAATTTTATGAGAAGTTTAATATTTGAAACTTCACTTATTAAAAAACTATTTAACATAATTTAACGAACTCTAATATACTTTATCAAAAAAATTAATATTGTCAAACTTGAAAATGTTTAAAAAACTATTCTACAATGAAGAGAAGCAAGTAAAAGTTGTCAATAGCTGACCATGACTTTGTTCAATATCATTTTGTCTTATTTATTGAAGTTTTAAAAGTAAGAATTTACTCAAAAAAATTCATTCAAAAAATCAAATTTGAGTATAAAGATTCGGGATGAGAAATTACTATAGTAACGAAGATAAAACCAATGAGGTTGATTTAAGTGATAAGTAGCTTGATATCGCTTAATTATGTTTCGAGTTGAGTAATTGTGTATGAAGAAAATTCCCACTGAAAGACTCATATACTAAAGTCTAAAGCTAGGTATGCAATCCGGATCGATCTATATTTGTCAAGACAGTTTTGAAAACCGAAAGAGAAAAAAAGAAGGAAAAAAATGTAAAGTCTTATATTGCTACTTAGAGTGGTGAGAACTCCTCCGATAAGGAAGATATTAAATTAATTTACCTTTTCCTTATGATCATCGAAAAAGAATTAAAAATAACTTTTAATTTATCTTATTAATTTTTTATATATATATTTTATGAATTATAAGATACCTATGAAGAATTAATTTTAAAATGTGCACTCATAATTTTAAAATATAAAAAGGAGTATTTTAAAATTAAAAATTAAAAATACTCACTTTCTAAGAATAATAATGAACTTAAGATTAAGATTAATGAAACATAAGCAAAATCAACGATTTTTATAAAAAAAAAAATTAGACTTACATGATTTTCTCATTAAAATTCATAAAGATCATCAAAAATAATTTGTTGATATTGAAAAAGAAATAAATATACGTAACAAAGCTACAAAATGTAAATAAAAAAATGATCCGAATCAAACTTTCTCAAAATAAAGTTTTTACAATAGATAAAATAATTTGTTTATTTTTTAACGGTGAGGGATTAAAATGAAACTAAAATATAATGTTAGGTATAATTTTGAAAATAAAAAAAAGTTTATGAACTATAAAATAACCATAAAAATAGATAGATTACTAAATACATAATTTAACTATAAAAAAATTTATGAAATTAAAAATTTAAGGAAGCCGGAAAACTAAAGAAAATATGAGATCAAATATATCCATCTACATATATGGGTGAATATTCGATCTAGTTGAGCTAAAAATTTTGAGTTAGTAAAGTTGATGAGCCATATTTTATAACTAAAACTTTATTTAAATTTTTTTCAAGTTGATTTTCTAAAATTCGAGTCGAGTTTTAAGTTTTTGTTTAAATTTAAATGTAAATAATTTTAATGTTATAGTACAATAATTTCAATTTAAATGATTTTCTATAACAATATACAATAAACATATGTATTTCTTCGTATTTTTTCATATGTTATATACATATATCATGCAGAGTAAAATAATTTGTTGATATTGAAAAAGAAATAAATATACGTAACAAAGCTACAAATGTATAAAAAAATGATCCGAATCAAACTTTCTCAAATAAAGTTTACAATAGATAAATAATTTGTTTATTTTTTAACGGTGAGGGATTAAAATGAAACTAAAATATAATGTTAGGCATAATTTTGAAAATAAAAAAAGGTTTATGAACTATAAAATAACCATAAAAATAGATAGATTACTAAATACATAATTTAACTATAAAAAAATTTATGAAATAAAAAATTTAAGGAAGCCGGAAAACTAAAGAAAATATGAGATCAAATATATCCATCTACATATATGGGTGAATATTCGATCTAGTTGAGCTAAAAATTTTGAGTTAGTAAAGTTGATGAGCCATATTTTATAACTAAAACTTTATTTAAATTTTTTTCAAGTTGATTTTCTAAAATTCGAGTCGAGTTTTAAGTTTTTGTTTAAATTTAAATGTAAATAATTTTAATGTTATAGTACAATAATTTCAATTTAAATGATTTTCTATAACAATATACAATAAACATATGTATTTCTTCGTATTTTTTCATATGCTATATACATATATCATGCAGAGTTAAAGAACTCGACTCAAATTTAAAATCAATTCACTAATTATTAAAAATTTTGAGTTATTCAAAATTTATTTTATAACTAAACTAGAATTTAATTTTTTTCTAATTGAGTCTCGTTTATGAAATTACAAGCGAAACAAAGTCGAATCAAATTTAACATTGAATTGAATTAAAAAAATTATTTTTTTTGAAGTCGAGTTTTAGTCACTCTTATATGTAGGTAGGGATGGGCATGGGACCCGAATTCGATAGGTTCCCACCCTATTGGGTCATATTTTATTTAAAAAAATCTGGGTTCGGGTCTTGTTCGAGTTTAGGGTGAAAAAATATGTCCTGGTCCAACCCGGAAAAAAATATAAAATTACCTTATATTTTAGGGATAATTGCAATAATACCCCTCTATATATTATTTTTTAATTAAATCCATATTTTTTATTGAATAAAAATAATATTTTTTTATAAATATATTAGGGTAAACTACGTCAAATACCACTCATCTGTAAGCTTGGGCTCGAAAATGTCACTGACGTTTCAATTTTGCCAATTTTAGCACGGACGTTTTTGTTTCACTACAATTTTACCACTCCGCCGTTAATCTGTTAACGGGACGATGACATTGCATCTTTTTTTCGTGACGGCGATGTCATGTCTCCCTCATCAAAACGACGTCGTTTTGGCACGACCGTTTTGATGCTTAAAAAACTCAAAACGACATCGTTTTGTTGCTGAAAAAAATGTTTTTCATAGGATTCGAACCGTAGACCTTTAGAATTCAAAACTAAATACCCAACCACCAAACTAACTTAAGAACTTTGTATAATCTTAACAAAACTATTATAAATCTTCATCACTACCACCGTCACCCTCATTATCACCCTCATTATCTTTCTCCACCAAGCATGTGTGAGATTGTTCATGAATATTTCTGCTTCTACCACTGTTTCCAATGTTGCTCCTACGAGCTTCTACTTGTCTTCTCACCTCAATGGCTCTAGAATCTGCTATGGAGTTGGTGCTAGTGGAGGCTTTCACACTCCTTTGTCTGTTATGCCACTTAAGTCAGATGGCTCTTTATGCATCATGGAAGCTCTCTGCAATAGATCACAGTCAGAAGGTTCCCTCATAAAAAATATTTCCCCAAGTTTTCTTGATATTCTTATTTGTCCTAACACTTGTATTATTCAATGCTTGTTTTGTTTGAAGGGATTGTGCCTACTTCGTCTCCAAAACTGGAGGACTTTCTGGGTGGTGCAACTATGGACCCTCATCAATATGGAAGTCATCAACGAGAAACAATGCCACTCAGCTTAGACAGCATGTACTACCACCAAGATGCGAATCAGGAAAACAACCGGCAATATTCTCTGGGCCTTCTCCAAGAACCCTTTAGAGAGCAGGAACAAGAGTTTTCTGTTCAAACTCACCACTACTTTTTAGGACTTGCCTACCAAGCCATGTTTCATTCGCCATTGGAGGAGGAAACCAAGGATACCCAACTTGCAGTCTGTGATTCCCAGATTCCTCAATTGGGAGAAAACAATGCCTTACTTTAAAAACTGGGTAGCTTCTCACTTCTCTACCCGTGGTTCAATGGAACAATAGATGACTAATAGCATGGTCGATGATGGAGCAGCTTCCGGCTCCGTCTGTCCAATGGGTTGTGGTGACTTTCAGTCCCTAAGTTTTTCGATGAGTCCTGGTTCCCAATCCAGTTGCGTTACAGTTGCGTTCAAGTGACTTTACTTATTTATAATAATTTTGTTAAGATTATACTAGGTTCTTAACTTGGTGGTTGGGTATTTAGCTTTGGATTCTAACGGTCTATGGTTTGAATCCTATGAAAAACATTTTTTCATCAACAAAAGGATGTCGTTTTGAGCTTTTTGAACATCAAAACGGTTGTATCAAAACGACGTCGTTTTGATAAGAGAGTCATGTCATCGTCGTCACGGAACAAAGATGCCATGTCATCGTCCCGTTAACGGATTAACGGCGTAGTGGCAAAATTGCAGTGAAACATAAACGTCCGTGCTAAAATTAACAAAATTGGAATGTCAGTGGTATTTTCGAGCCCGAACTTAAAGATGAGTGGTATTTGACGTAGTTTACCCAATATATTATTTTGGGTTAAGTTCAGATTTTATCTCAAAAAAAGATGATCAGATTCGGATCGGATGAATGATGTATATTTTCTAGTCGAGTCGAATTGATAGGAAACCCGACCCGTGCCACCCCTATATGTAGATTCATAACTCTTCGTTTGGGCCAAAGATTAGCCCAATAAGCGCACCATCTCGGTCTCCATTTCCCTAAATCCACCAACCAAAACTACAATGATTGAGTTATGTATTTTTTCCCGTTAAAAGGAACCTAACAAACAAACTGACGTTTTGTTTAATTTTCTTTTTGATTCCTTCTCATTTTATTAATCAAGTTCTCTTTTTGATTCCTTCCTTCCTCCGCCTTCGCCTGCTGTTCAGAAACTGGCAATTCCAAAATTTCCGGCGACTTTCCAGATCTGTCGATACATTCACTTTAATCTTGGTAAAAATAAAAAAATGTTTTATGTCGTTTTGCAGCCACTAATTATATAATACTAATTTTTGCTCGTCAGCTGTTATTTTAACCTGTTTAAGAAATTTTGACCATTTTTTACGTTCAAAATTGGACATTAGTTTTTTTTCTTTCGAAAGATCTCTATGGTATGAGGGTAGGCTAATTTATCTGTTATTTTTTTTCTTCATGAAATTGGGTTTTAGTTAGACCCCCTTTTCTCGATATATTAATTTCATATCAATTTTAATTTCATAATAATCCTTATAAATTTCTTGATGAATTAGGGTTTCTGATATATTACAATAGAATTTCTTTGAATCACGATGCTGTCCTTCTCGTGAAATTCTTGAATTGTTTGATTAAGGGTTAGATGCCTTTGTGCCGTGTTCCATTTAACTTTAGATATGCAGGAGAAATGCAACACAACAGATTTTCTAGGTGAAATAGTAGCACTTTGCTTCTGAATTACTGCTTGAGCTCTGATTTATCTTTTATGTCAACATTGGAATAGTAACATACTTTTGTTGTTAAATTGTCGCTGATCATCAACTTTATTATACTAAAAGGAGCTGATGTAGATTCTCATTGGAAACCCTAGGAATAAACCTTTTAAATTCTTGATGTGTGCTAAAGAAATTCTGACATCTGCATTGGGGTAAACCAGCCATGTTAATTAAGCCTATGTATTAACATCCTCGTCAAAATTGTCTTGGTCTACCATATATTCATCTTTACTACGTTCATTTGGGATATTTAAATTTAATCCAGATTTTTTTGGCTTATTGGCTGTTTGATTGATTAATCTGCGAAGATTTTTTGGAAGATTGATTTGATATGTATTGCTGTTAACATTGCATACGATGAAAATCATAGTGTTGATGCATGTTTTCCTGTTTTCCTTCTTTACATTGTGATGTAGTTGCTGGTGTGAGGATAAGAATGTGATTATTTGAACTGCAGGTCATGTGCCGCCAAAATTCATGCTTGCATTTGTCTGCAGAGGAAACAGATACAGCTGTAGAGAATCTATTAATATATTGCAAGCCTGTTGAGTTATACAATATTCTTCATCGCCGTGCTTTACACAATGTAATACCATGCTTTTCTTACTAAACATTACATTCTCTATATTTGATCTGTTATACACTCGAAGTAGTTCTTAGATGTGTGTTTTTTGTGTCTAAGAGAATTTACTATTTGCGCTATTTGGGAATTCTTGCTAAGATGTTAACTATTTTTGGTCAAATAGATTCTTTTGTTAATCTTCTCTTATAAGTCACAACTGTATAACCTTAATTTGGTGTTTGAGGAGGTATAATGCCTCAGAGCATGGTTACCTACTGTTTTGCCTGATGGGACCACATTCTTCGTATCAGTCTACTTTCTAATCTAATATCATGTTCTGCTTCAGCCTTCATTTCTTCGTAGATGTCTGAAATACAAAATTCAGGTGAGGCGTAAAAAGAGGTATGAACTTTCCTTTCAATCTATGCCTTGATATCTGAAGTAACACTTTGAATTTTTATCAATCTTATTTCCCTAAAGCATGATACTAGCGAATTACTTCTGTCAGTAACCATCTGTTTTAATTTTCCCCTAGTAGAAAACTTTAAGTTTATATATATGAAAGAATCATAGTACCTGGGGACCCCTCATAAGAACAGCCAGAAATAATCTACTAGTTCTTTGAGCAGATGATTGTTTTGTCCTTGAGTCAGGATTGTGTGATTAAGGCTGATAAGTATGGTTATGTAGTGGGAAATATATATTTCTCTGCTATTTCATGCTTCTGAAAAGTAGCAATATTCTTTGATGGTTCTTTGATGTTTGAATTAAAGTTCTTTATTGGCAAACTAATTTATTATAAAGGGAAAATGAATGTTGTTTAGGAGAGTTTCTTGATGAGAGTTGGTTCCAAGTTGTAGCATGTTAAGAGTTTGATGTGGGCAGTTGGGAATATTTAGTACTAGAAGAATTGTCTTCAAGACATATGCCCTGAGACAGTTTCAAAATCCTACAACTCTCCATATTTCAAAGCACGGCCCTGATTTTTTTTCCTTCAAATAATAGTGTGAAAAACAGATTACTTCTATTTTCCAAGAATGTAGGCATAAAATATATCTCCAAATTAATAACTAAAGTTGATATTGATTGCTGGAGTGCTGTTGTATTGCTCCATTGACCTTCTACTTAACATATACAGTTACAAACTTTTCCTAAAAAGGGAAAGAAAATTTATGCATTTCTAACAATTATTTGTTTTCTTTATCACTTATTATGTTGCGAACTTATCTGTGATCTGTTTGTGTAGGTTGAGGGCTGGAATTGTAATTTTCAACTATAAGGATTATGGCAATATGCTACAAAAGACTGAAGGTTAATCTCTTTATCTTCAACGAACTCTGCATTGTACATAATGTTTACTTAACCTTTTAATGGCTAAAATTGATTCTCTGAGCTCTAATTCCCATGTTCTTTTTTAATCTTTTGAACTTGCAGTAACTGAAGATTTCTCTTGTCCCTTTTGCTTGATGCAATGTGCAAGTTTTAAGGTGGATACTCAATCTGTTATCTGAACATATGATATTCATTGTCGTATGTATAAAGTATGATTTTCTTCTTGTATGAATATTTTCTTCTTGTTCCCAAATATTGCAATTTGCTGGATTCAAGCATTGTTCTGATTTTTGCTATGCGTAGATTGCTAGTTCTCTTTTTGGAGCAAAAAGCTTGTTTGACATAGACCACCTTGATGTTTGTTCACAGGGTCTGCGACATCACTTGTGCTCTTCACATGATTTATTCAACTTTGACTTCTGGGTTAGTAACTCAAGGTGTAAAGTGACTTGCCACTCAATTGATATTTTCCAGAAAGACTAATGAAAATTTGTCTTTATTGTAGGTAACAGAGGGGTATCAAGCAGTGAATGTCTCTGTGAAAATTGATTCGTTGATATCTGAGGTAAAAAATTTCCTTCAAGATTCACGTGGAAGCTTAGATTTGAATGAGGAACAATCCTGCTGCCATCAATGATGGTATATCATGTAATTTTAGACTTGAGGGCAGAAGTGCAAGTAATGGTTGTTGGTAACTTGGTATGGGTTGGTATGTTGTTCATAATTAACAATGGTTGACGATGAAAATCAAATATCCTTGTTTCATTTCATATCTTTTCTTAAGTTTTAGAAAATCAATTTTGACTAGGCAAAAAACATTATTGACTTCTCAAACTTTAATATTCTGCCAAAAATTCTTGTTACAGACTTTGGAAAATGGAGTAGACCCACGAGGAGAAACTTTCTGCTTCTGGTAGGGTATACTTATTTGGTACATCTTGCTTCTTTCAACTGCCATGAAAACTTCTTGCCGGAAATAAGTACTGTTAGTTCAATGGTAAAAGTAATTGCATATGCAGCTCAAAACCTCGAAGGCGTAGGTCTACAAGCCCTCTGCAGAGTGCGAAGAATGTCAATGTACAATTTTTGGAGATGGACTCGCCCAAAAATGTCAGTGAAAGCAGGCAGAATGGATTTCTGGAGAAAGATGATGGTAATTTTTCTAGTAATGTTTTCAGTTTACATTGTTATACATCTATATGTTCAATGCTAGTCTCTTATTCTTAGTGTGTGAACTGTGAATGCTTTACATCTTGAAATCACCAACGTAATTTTGTAACTTATAAGTAAACAATACTAGAAAAATGACTCAATATTCACCTTTCTTTAACATAACTTTTGAACTCTCTGAAGGTGAGAGCGCTTCCAAGTCAATTCCTATTGAGAAAGATATGCAAAACAGATGGCATGGTCTGAAAAATTATGGATCTGATTATGCTAGTACAACTGAGTGTCTTGCACTGGTCACAACTACTTGTGATGTTCCAGGAGTTTCAATTGCAATGGCTCATTCTCCTCTGGACCCTGATTGTATTAAAACATTATCTGTAACTGATATAGCTGTTCCTCCTTCGAAAACAAAGAAAATAGTGGCAGAACG